ACACTGCAATGATCATAGGGGTGCATATATGCTTTCCAACTAGTGTTTCATGTTTCTTCGGATATATTCCCAGAAGTGGAATCCTGGGTCACAAGGCGATTCTATTTTTAATTTTTGAGGAACCTGCATACTGTTTTCACAGTGACTGTACCAGTCTGCATTCCCACGACCACTGCATTAGGTGAATTCACCCTTACCAACACTTGTAGTTTGCTGATTTGTTGATGGCAGCCATTCTGACAGGTGTGAGGTGATATCTCATTGTGGTTTCAATTTGCGTTTCTCTGATGAAAGTGACATTGAGCATCTTTCTACCTTTTTGTTTTCAGTGTAGAGTACTTATACATCTTTTGTTAAATTTATCCTTAAGTTTGCAGTGTTCTTTAATCCTATTTTAAATGGTAGAGTTTTCTTTATGTTACTGTCTAATTGCTCACTTTAGTATGTAGTGAAATACAATTGACTTTTTTATATTTAACTTGTATCCTTCAACATTAATAATAAAATCTATAATTCAAAAAAGCTTCCCTGATAGAAAAAATATACTTAAAAGTACATACTGAAAGAGTTATCAGCCCAGAATGACTTTCCTAGTAAGATTATTGGACTTTAAAGAAGAGAAAAGAATTTGACCAGACAAGCAAAACGAGCAAGTTTCTTATAAGTAATTTATATGGGAAATAAAATTAGATTATTATCCGACTTTTCAACAGCAACACTTTGTCATAAGAAAATAGAGTCATATATTTAAAATACGCAAGGAAAAAAGGTGAGCTGCTATGAATCAAAACAGTGACAGAGATAGTGATGGAAATGCTCTTCGAGGAAGATTATTCTAGCAGCCTTTTAAGGCACAGATTAAAGTGGGATGTCACATCATAAGGTATATAAGTGTTAAATTGTTATAGGATAGGAGAGGGCCTCGTCTCCCCTGGTTGCTCATGGAAGTAGGGTTCTTGGCACTTCCAGAGGCCCTCATGGGAGGATGCAATATGGTAGAAAAATTCATTTCTGTGGAATTACACCCCTGGGATTCCCAAGTCCCATTTCCCTTAGCCCAGGCATAGAAGAAGAGTAACTGGGACTTCAGGAGAGCTAAAATCAGAGCCAGTATCCAGTGTCCTTTCCATTTTGGAGCTGGATCCAGTCCATCATCAGGCTAGCTTAGTTTGTGTTTCTAGCTGCAGTCCATCAGTCCACTGCATGTGAGATCCACAGGGCCACATGGCTATGAAGGAAACACTGGCAGCAGCAAAATAAGAGGCCCACGAGCCAAGAGCCAAGAGTCAAGCGCAATAAGAGAGAGAATTCCTTTATTTAGGGGATTATGTATTCCCAGATTTTCAGTACCATGCCCATTCAGGCAATAATCTCTGTTCTCCAGTGTGATTGATATACAAGTACTTTCCCTATGTCACCCAACTTTACTGGGCATGCGTCTATTTTCCCTTTGTTGGATTCCTTTCCCCAGTGTTTTGCAGAGAATAGGCTGGTGGTTCCCTGGGGAGTGCAAAGTAGCAGCTTCCTGGTGAAGCTGCCCAAATGTCTGGCTTTCCCGTTGCTCCTTTTCTGTTATTAAAAAACAGCTATTTACAGTGGTATGAAAATCACTGTTATACCCTTGAAACTAATATAATATTTTATGTAAGCTATACTTTAAATAAAAATTAATTATTTAGTTAATTAATTTAAAAGGGGGATGTGGTGATATAACAAAACAAAACAAAAATCTTAGAAAAATATAACCAGCAGCGTCTAATAGAATTTTCTGCAATGATGGAATTAGTCTCTAACTACACTATTCAATATAGTAGTCATGTGACTATTGAGCGCTTGAAATGTGGTTTGTGAAACTGATAAACTGAGTTTTAAATTTTACTTAATTGTAATTAGTTCCAATTTAAATTATATAGCATCAGATGGTTAATGATCACCATATTGGACACTGCAGATGTAGGCAATATAAAGCCTAAACACTGGACTGTGACTAAAGAAATGGAATTAGAAGAGGCTACCCACGAGGTGTAATGGAAAAAGGAAACAATGTTTTCATAGGGGAAAGAGGAAAAAGGAGATTTAATTAATTTAAAGGTAGATGCTGGGGAGAATGGGGAAACTGGTGGTACCATCCAATAAAAAGCCTATATCATCCAGGGCTATTTTGAAAAATAAGTATTTTAACAGGTTGAGTTCCCAGTGATAAGGAAACCTCCAAGTGGAAATGACTATAAACAATTAGAATTCTTACACTGAATTGGGGCAGGAGGTCAAAGCAGAAAACAAACACATATATTTGTTTGTGCATATATATCTAATTTCTCTCTTGCAAGAGTCTCTTCTGCCTCCATACTCCCCTTTGCAGACATTAGTTTCTCTTCCCCCTCATGGAACAGCCCTGATCTATGGCATGATAATGGTGGTTCAGAGGAATTACTATTTCACCTGCTGAGTGATTAATATGAAATTACTTACTGCAACACTTAGTGATACCGAGAGGATCAAGGAGAAATTTGGTTTTTAGAAAGGAAGATACAAGATAAAATATTGCTTTGCGTTCACAGAGTACTTTTCATTCGAGAATCTCTGCATACTCAGCAAACTTAATTAATGAGAAAACCTCAAAGAAAGAGAAGTGATAAAAATAAGGAACACAGATACTAGTGTTCTGTTCCTGTGATGTGTTAAAGCCAAGCTTGGTGTTTTCCTCTTTCATTAATGCACAAACGTAGCCCCATGCAGCAGCACTGAGATGTTCATCTTTTTGTGGCATGATTCCTCTTGAAGGCATCCCACTTAGGGGGGATAGTAACCACACAGAACCCCACCCCCTAACTTTATTGATGTCCTGCACTCTATTTGCAATGGAAATCTGTCCCTGTCATCCTAGTGCAGCAAGCATTCTCTGATAAGTCAGTCTGCACTGTCCCTGGAAAGATTGTTTTGTTGCAGAATGGAGCAGGTTATCTCCTTTATCAAAAAATTATTCAAAACAAACATCCATGAATCTAGGGCTAACATGCATTGTAAGAGGATAGACGGGGCCCCTTAACGGGTACCCTACTGTGTAATCTTCCTTTCATCTTCATTCAAAATCCCTTGGAGGTTCAAACTCCCCTTTGCAAAAATATGAATTCTTCTAATTATTTATATGCACTGTAGGGCACATGATTTGACCTCGTCCAAAGAGATATGCAGCAAAGCATCCTGACATTCATTTTTATGTGTTGTGACTTGAGGATAGATGCTGGTTTTTTGTCCTATCCTTCATATTTTTTTCCTTCCCTCCTCTCTACTAAAAAAAAAAAAAAAAAAA